AAAAATTATTTTATTCAAGATTATAATAACCATTTAAAAAATGAATAATCTTAAGAAACAAATTATTGAACATGTCGGATATACTTTGTATATCCGAAACAAAATTATTGAATACAAACACATGAAAGAACAAAACATTTTAGTAGAATTAAGTATTATTGATAATATAATTATATTATGTGAACAAATTAAAAATTTATTAGATGAGAGAATTGAAATACTTTATAAATTTACTCTGAAATACACAAACAAATCTGTATTAGTCGTTATGTTAGATCACATTAACTTTTTCTTGAAGTTAATTACATTAAAATTTGAAAATACTAAAAATTATTTAATAACATACAATGTAAATTTTACAAGTCAATTAAAACAAAAATTTCATTGGGATCGAGACCTCTTAATGTTTCTATTAGCTCAATGTAAACCGCAAATCGATTAATATGCAAGCATTCTTACAAAATCTCGACTTTCATTTGCAACTAAGACATCACTTAGTGTTGTATAACATGAGATTACTGGCATACAAAAACTGTTTCACTAAAAATATTAAAGCACTTGTAAATGCATTAATTAAGACCAATGAGCTAATTTTAAAGTTTGAGGATTTAGTAATTAATATATTACAAACTATAAAATATTTCCATAAGCCTAAATGTTGGTCAAGAACCTTATTATGTAAAACTATTTCAGATTTAAATCAAATTTGGAAACACCAATTACATTTACAACAACTTGTGTTTCAACGTAATACTTCAATACATATCGAAAAAGTGATAATATTTGCCCCATTTAATAACTAATATATTAGTGTAATATTTATTAAGTATTTGTAAACAATTTTAATTTATTACTTAATAATTCGCTAATAAAACTTAATTGTGACTTGTGTAACTTTTGTCCAAAATGATTTTAAGTAGAACTGAATTAAAACTTAAAAGAGGACATAGCGAGTGTAGACAACGTTTTTACAGTACACAAATTTCAACAATTCACATAATTAAAACATTACCAGAGATTAATAATATACAACTATTAGACAAACTTGAAAGAAAATTTAAGCAACTATTAAAAATATCCTCTAAACTTGAAGAGATTTATATAAGATTTTTATTGAAAGATAGTGAACAATATTGTGGTGACACACAGACATATATCTTTTATGCAAACGAAGACATTATTAAATATACACACAAAGATAACAATTTAGTTGACGAGTTTATCTTCTTTAATCCCGAACTACGTGATATATTTAAGAAAATATTGCGTACTCAGTATTATTATAAAGACTATTTCACTTGGCTTGTAGAGCAATATCCATAAGTGATTAATTTTGTTGATATGTTTAATCTATTAGACTTGCCTATAGACATTTTAGAATATCATATCATTAATCGACTTAATTTATATGATCGTTTAAGAGCTACAGGTGTGAGCAAAGCATTTGACAATATATTATATGATACGCCCATCAATATAAATTTAAATAATAGATTTTTAAGTGAAATTACATCATCACCTAAATCACTAAAAAACTTATTAAAATTATCTAACGACATTAAGTGTATTAATAAACTATCAATTAAGGTTTTTCATCCGTTAATAATTTTATTTTTGAACATTATTGTCAAAAGGAATGAGAGAGAAACCAAACTTAATAAAGTTAATAAACAGTCTATTTTAACAAATGTGAAAGAATTTAAAATAAGAATACCACCGTCTTACACATTTGTTGACCCTATTATTTATTGGTGTCTTCATTACTGTGCCCCATCAATAAAAATATTGTACTATAGTGAACATTCAAACTGTGACTTAAAATATTTACTTTATAATTATATTTCATTTAATATAATTAAACTTGATTTTCTTTTAATTTACACACACGACCATAAATTTACAGAAGGTTTGTGTAAAATATATAATAAACAAACGCGTGACAAATATATTGCCGACTTTTTCAATTGTGAAGAAGAAAACTTTAGAATTTGTGAAACAACTCAATTAGCAGTAGAGTATTTCGATGAATCTCTTAGTGCTAACAACCATTTAATTGAAATATTATCCCCAACCCTAACCCAACTGTGTATTCATTCTTATGACAGTGACGAAATAAAAATCCAACAAGTCGAACAGTTTATTTTAAAATGTGAAAAACTTAATAAACTTTTAATCTCAGGATTTCCAATTGATGACATTAATAGTTTATCATCACTTAATAACATTACTACAAAATTCAGTAATTTATCTGTGCTTAATATTGATATTACTGTCTATTCAGATCAATCAATCATTGATTTCTTGAAACCTCTAAATAGATTAACTAATCTAATTGACTTTACATTGAACGGCTGGTTTGAAGAAACAACCTGTGTGCCATCAATTATTGTTAAACCCTTTAAAAACCTTAAATATTTTACATTTAATGGTTATCAAAACAAATTTTCTACAGGGTTTTTCAATTATTCTATATTAAATTATATTACTAAATATTGTCCAAAAATTGAATATTTAGATATAGACTTTATATTTGCTGACACTAAAGATCGTCGGTTTTCATTCAATAGTGATTTATTCAAAAATCATAAAAAGTTTTATTTCAATAAAAGAAAAAGAACTTTTGAAACCTTTTTAAAGAATTATAATACTGGTATTAGAGGATTAGTAGAACTAATAAGTAAAACTAAAATTGCATCAATTACTTTAGTAGGCAATTTTAATCTAAATAGTTTTACTAAAAAACAAATTTTACGCTTAATCAAACATAAGAAAACTAATCTTTACTGTTTAGAATTAAATAATTATAAAATTATTTAAAAATGTCTCAACCCAGTACCAGTCACAATTGTGACGAAGACTGTCCATTATATGAGGATCATAGACCACTAACACCTAATCCTCCTATATATTTACCCAAAAATCGCAAACCTTATGATAATTTAATAAGGAAATATAATCGAAAATATAACAAAAATTATATATTAAGACGAGACATAGATTTTGGAACAATTAAAGTCGTTGTGAGCAAAAATAATGTTGTTTATTATCAACAATTTATTTTTGGTCCTCGAAAATCCTCTATTGAAAACAGAGAGCCTATGATATCTCATAACCCAAGAAGATCTCTTATTTATAAAATTAGATCTGAATATACACTATTATGTATACTTAATTATTATAAAACTAATATGTTACCTTTTAATTATATAAAACCTAAATATTCAATTAAATTAACCCAAACCATTAATAGTCAAAAATGGTTTAAACGTAGTGTATCAAAACGCTATATTTGTATATACTGCAATTTATTAAATGAAAATGGATATTACTTTAATAACCATATAGTCGACGAAATTAATAAAAATGAGATCACACATTTGTGCAACAATAAATGTATTTTAATGTGTGAAACACATGATCACTGGCATAATAATAACCAAATTTGCACCGCAGACTGCAAACTATTTTGTTTAAAAAATAGTTTTGCAAAATCTTTGGAAACAACATGGCTTCCACAGTTTACCCGTAATCATTGTGTCAATAAATTATGTGTATACTGTCTCAAATTAACCGACAATAATGAATTATTAAATATATTAAAATGCGAAGACATTTCAATTGTCTTAAACACTTTCTATAACCATATTAATATGAAATCAGTGTTGTGTTTGTTGTGTCGTGCGAAACATTTTAGTCAATACAAAAATGGACATTCTATTGACCATTATATTGCAAATGATCTAAGTATCATTATTGATCATTTGATATCCCACCATGTGACCGATATCCAAGAACCTCTACATCTGGAACTCTCTACATTTAATTATGGTGAAGACATCACAGACGACGCGCTGGCATTTATAAGACGGTACTTCTATGATGTTGGAGTAACAAAAATAGAAGAAATCATCAAAAACAACATCAAGAAAGCATCACCGGATTCAGTTGTCTATTCATCACTAACAAAGGCGATCTCGGATATGGGGACACTGGGTGAATTTAATTCATTTTATACCATACCTACTGAAGCTGATAACATAGCAGCCGATGATATAATCAATGACTTATTTAATAAACTTAATTAATAATTTTATATTTACTTATATAACCTTTTAAACAATGTTTTTATTATATAAAACATACTTTATAGTCAACTAATTATTGCAACCAAATACTATTATAATCAATATACTTAAATAATCTAAATATTGTATACACAATTTAACCATATTATAATTATATAAAATACACTTAATATCTAATAATTTTAGTCCTAGTATACTATTTACTATATATAAATATCACAATTAATGAGACTATTTTGATATAATTTATATTATTATATAACCGTAACTATGAATCTATTATTATATAATCTATTTATATACCTTGTGACTTACATTACATTACATGTCAAAACTAAAATAACCAATATATATTTATATAGATATTTCCCAATATAAACACCTAATATTGTAATCTTAATATTATATCTTAATCAAATTATATAACCATATACTTAAACATTATATTTAATATAACATTTATCTTATATTTATAACAATATACTATTTAATAATTGATGTTTTTAATATTTAATTGTAATCTTAATCTTTATAAGCGGACAGATATCATGAGATTCGAGTCGAATCTACAGGGAGAAGGGAGTGATGTCAATATAAAATCTATTATATAATAATATCCTTATATATATATATATATATAATACTCACAAAAGAAATTTTTTTTAGTAACATTAAATTAATACATAAATATACTACAATACACAAATGTTCGGTGCGGAAAATCCAACTTTTTCACCCCAACCATAGCATAAACAGTATTAAATTTTTCCCATTTAGTGCCAGAATTACCAATTTTAGACATCAATCATTACATAACATAGTATAAATACTATAATATTGTAGTGATTTCTGGCACTAACGCATCACTATTACATACCTTACCTCCCTTGAAAAATTATATTGATGCGACCATTACTATAAAACCCCGTGTATCCTCAATGATTTTATCATTGAGATACTGGTAGTCATTGGCATAAGACTAGTACTGCTAAGAGCCGTTAGCAGATCAGTTCTCTCCCCTTTTGGTTCGACCCCTTCTCGTGATATGGTCCGTATACTTGGATGTATACCGTTTTGATGTCTTTTCAATAAAGCCTTTGGATTTCAATGTGAGTTTTTACCCTTTATTGTCTTCTACTTTTCTAAGCGACCTCAATCCGTGGGTTCCCGCGTCGGGAGCTCCAGTATCGAAAAGGTCCCTTCTTGTCTACAGTTTTAAGGTAAGATGACTGGCCATCGGGTCCGCCGTGTCGGGGGATCTGGTCGGTTATGTTGTCAAGCCTTCCCGCGTATATAGCTAATGGACGGAGCCGCCGTGTCGGGGGTTCCGGTCCAGTTATATGATACCATACCTTACCCTAACCTACCTTATGATGGTTGACCATCGGATCCGCCGTGTCGGGGGATTCGTACGGTCATGCCGTCATTCCTTTACCATTGATAGTGTGCTAACGGGTCTGTCGTGTCGAGAGATCTGTACGGCTATGCTGTCCTCCTCCCTTACCTCCTTTGACTTATGCTTAGTTATTGTTGGTGTAGACTACTATATGTGTCATATAGGAGTCTCCGACATCCCCGAGATTGTACCAGGCCGCCGAAGGCTCTGCCCGATTTTTCGGCAATAGTCCTACGTTTTAGTGAAACAGTTGTAGTTATGTCGGTTCTCAGTGTTATTTAACACTAATAGTCTGACCTTAAAATACAATTTACTAGGTGATCCAATAGTTGCTGTCTTCGTGACAATAGCACTAGTTTGGTTGATTGTTGTAATTATCGGCTGTTTGAGTGAATGTGTGTGTGAATGCATAGTAGTGGTTTCTCGAGTACTTATGTGCTTTCGCTAACTTAGTTGGGAAAAGCATAGTTACTGTCTGATACCGACTTACTAGGTTGGCCAACGGTCCCAAGAGGGTTCCGGTCATCCGATCGCGTGATTGTGTGTTAATAGCCGATAACGGACACTGAGTTTAAGACCGTACACATACGCTCCTCAATAGTGATCCGAGAGAATAGTTAAGGACTGCCTTAACTTTATGAGTCAATAGTCGCCTTCGGGTTGACTGACTCGGTATAATTATTTGGATACCTAATAGTTTATTGTAGTTATATATGCACTGTTTAACCATAGAACGGCCAAAAACCTATAAGTGATGTCAATTGACCCCAGAGACGACATAGTTATGTCTGACCAGATTTAACTGAATACCGAATGTGAGATAATAGAAATGTTACGATAATTATGTAATACTGTCGGCAATCTGTCGGTCATGTATTGTCTTTATCGTACTTGAGTGTATGATTTGTTTGTATAGATTTATGTTAATTTATGTGATCGGTGACTCTCCGACAACACATTCGTTAACGGTCGCAGCGGCGGTTGTGTACGCGACACCGCTTGCTGTAGTTGATGAGCGCCTTGTCATTGCCGCCACCACACATACAATTTTGTCTAATATAGTCCTTGTCTATGTATGTTAGTTGAGTGTAATTTTGTTGTCTATTGTAATGTTATACAGTACAGATTAGTAGTCCAGTGATAGTCACCGTAACACAGGTTTCGGGTGATATCACATTTCACCGACGAGTGTCGGGTAGGGTTTAACTAGTGTTTAAACGCCTTTATTTAGTGCCGGGTAGGCACGGCTGGAGAGACATAGATGGGTTAGATTCCCCCTGAGATTGCTTGTGACGGTCTCATGGTTATGTCACAGGGTCAGTGGACTCTGATTTAGAGTTTGGCCACAGGGTTGGTCAACGGGTATAGTATTACTTATCCAATAGTGGGTATTTGAATAGACTATACGCCGATTTTACCGACGGTAGTACCGAGTGATGGTACTGACCATTAGACTCAGTCTTACTAGTAGATTGGGTATTGGGTTGCATGTTTTGGTTAGAGTGAGGCTTTGAGGCTTCTCTCGTTGACTATCATTGGTAGGGCCCGACCAATTAGTCAATCGTTATGTTTTAGTTACCAGTTTATATTTGCAATCAGACATTTGTTGTCTTTGAGTTAATGTCGGTTTTTGTTTATTCTAGCGCAAGTGTTGCGGCTAGCCAGCCATTGTATGGATGCTGATAACACTGTATCGTCTTGTCTTCAGTATACTATAGTTGTGTCACGTGTAGTCAGTGACCCTACTAGTAAAATAGTTTTCACTGGTCTCAGAGCTTCAGACCAGACTCGAGTGGTACAGACTTCGAGTCTTAACTCTCAAAACAATGAGTGTCTTAACATTGAATAGTGTTTCGTTTGATAGTAAAAGCCAAATTGAATTAAATAATCTAAGGACCAGAGATATTTTATATAATTAGACCTTTTATATAATTGGCCCGCAAAGTAGTAATGTCTTAATATATGACCAATCAGACATAGATTGTATCAATAATTGTGTAGTAAAAGCTAATATCGTGCCCAATGTACAATTAAGACAACCTAAACCACTACAGGAGTACTGTGCCAATAGTGGCGGCCATTCCAGTGGTTTGCGTGAAATCATTGCATGGAAAGTAAAGCGAGTATCTCACCCCCAAAATACTAATAAAACATCTAATTAATCAACACTTTCCAGTTATAAATGGCAATGCTATTAAAATAATATTGAAACGGTATAGGAATAGGATATATTATAGTTATAACAGTAATGATAAAATCTACTCATTACAATATGTTTTCAACAATACTTTCAATTGATTATTATTATGATTATTATTGTCATTAATTTATACTTTTAAAGTTTTTTTTCATATTTATAATCTATAAGTTATTACAAATGTTTTTTTTTATCTTTAAATTATAAATAATCTTTAAAAAAGACTGTTTTGTTGTATACGTTGGTCAATAAATTGGATTTTTGTTTTTATTTTTTTAATGTTATAAAATACTGTACAATAAAATGTTAGTATCAATAGTAAATATAGTTAGTTAATTTAATTTAATTGATTGATATATATAGTTATAGATATAGTATAGATATATATAGTTTTCAATACAATTATTACAATATTAATTTATATATAATTTTTATATATATATATTTTTTTATAAGATTTTATTTTTGTATTTAAAAATATATTTATATACTTAAACGAAAAATTAAATACAGTATAATGTATAATAAAAACTTATAAAAGTATGAATTACTAATAATAATTAATTGAAAATAGAGTTACAAATTTATTATTGAGAGTTATGGTAAGTAAAAAAAATTAAATTAGAAAAACAAAATATTTATTGATATGTTATTATTAATTAAGTAAATTAATAAATATTTAGCAATAACTTTAATATTATAGAAAATTTTCAATAGTTTTTTATTAAAAAAAATTTTATTCAAAAGTTATTAGTTGATTATATATTGATGAAAACAAAAAAAACTATTTACGTTAATATATTATCGAGATTATCATTATTAACATATTTGCCATAAATAAACTGTTTTTCATTAGTTAGCGAACAATACTTAATATACAAGTGCTTAATATTGCTATCAATTAGTAATTGTTTGGTTAGATTGTCCCAAATCACCACCAATTCATCACCACTTGTTGTCTTTATTTTATTTTTTATATCATTAAATCTCAAACAGACATCCGTCAAGTGTGCCAACTGTCCCATAGCTAGGATCGACTCCTTCTTAGTGATAACCATTCGGTCAAAATATATAGACTGTAGTCGCGGAAGATTGCGGTGAATGTCACGGAAAAACTGGTCATAAATTGTACGCCAATAGTGTAGGCGAAGTGCCAAATGTGTTAATCGATGAAATCGTTTTAACGAATCGCTGGTCAGTAATAAAATTTTGTCAAAATTTAGCTGACTATCCACTGATAATCGTCTCAATTGCGGTGACATATGTTCAGTGATTGCCGAAAATATGCGACCAATTTTCAATGTATTTGTCGCCATTGATACCTCAACTTTTAATGCTTTAAGTCGGCGACAATTGCGGCCAACTGTGGTCAACAAGTCTTCGGGAAATTTACTGTCGCCGTAATCATTGGACAAAACAATTTTCAATTGTACTAATCGTTTCATTTGTGACAAACCGATGATCAATGAGTTATAATTACAGTTTAGATTATTAAACCGATCAAATGAAAGATCCAATGAAGTTATTTGTTGTCCACAAATTTCGGGAAACTTTTTAGACAACGCAACCGATATATTGTTCAGTCTTATAGTCGTTGATTGCAATGTTTTCGGCAAAACATACGACATATCAGTACTGAATATCTGCGAAAATCTGCTAATATTCATATAATCATAAGCGATGTCCAGTGTCTTCAAGTTTGGCATTAAATCAATTGATTCATACAATTGTCTGCTAATATAACTGTCATATCTATCAAACTTGAATGTCAACAATTGTTGGCCAAATTGGCTACAAAATCGGTAAAAAATTTTGTAGTTATCAGTACTCCAGTGATTAATAGACTTAAGCGATATGTGTCTCAATCGGTAACAGTATTTCATTATTAATTGAAAATAATTGTCGCAATAATTACTATCATTTATAGTTAGTGTTGTAATGTTTGGACACTTTTTGATCAACAATTCAAACACCGCTATCAATGAGACGACACTCTGATAGCCAACGCATCTGCTATTGTCTAATGAATTGTCTGACAATCTCTTCAGAAGTTTTCTATCAAATACCAGATATGTTTCTGAAGTGAATATCAATGCCAACCACTGTTTGGACACCGATTGCAGTCTTAGTTTGTTTTCAATTGGCAGATATGTTAGCAATAGTTTCGCCAAATCATCGCCGAAGCGATCAAACGAGTCCTTCATTGCTGTTGTTGTGGTCATTGTCTTCTTCAGTGATATTTAGATTCAATGGATTTACTGATTATGAAAATATATATCAGAAATAAAATGTGAATTCAATGTCAAATCACAACAAACACTACTAATACTTACATTTGATTTTTGTTGCAATCAATTGTTATAATAATAATAATAATAATTGTATTTAAAAACAAAAACAAACATTAAATCAATTTATAAATCGCACAAAAAAAATAACACGTGTTTTCAATACATATATACAAACATATAATCAATTTGTATGTCTAATACTAATAGAGGTGTGGCTTAAAGTAAAACATAATTATTATACCCATTAACTATAGTTTATATGTATATATATACCGTATATTATATTAAATCTATGGTTAATATATGTGTTTTTATACTTACAATTATAATGTTTATAAATTTTAATACATGTATCAAACACATTGTTATAGATATACAGTATTTTACTATTGATGACATCTTTATTAATTATTTACAAATTATAATATATAAATCATATAAATCATATAAAATAGATATATACAGTATTTTTACATTTATTTAAAAAAAATATTCATTGATTGCATAAATAAATTTATAATTAATAATAATTTTAATTTATTTTAATTAATAGATAAATACAAGTATTAAGAAAACAAATATGGTAATATTTGTAGCACTTGTTATAATCACAATTACTTAACATGTATTACTAAATAAACATTTATAATAACTTTAAATTATTATATAAATATTTTTTTAAACTTTCAATTACTTTAAAAGTATATAATAATAATAATAATCAATTTAAAGTTAAAAAATACATATTATTAAGTTACATTAAGTTTAATAATATTTATTACTATTATTATTATTTAATTAAATCAAAAATTACTATTAATATTCATAATTAAAAAATAATAAATCATAATTAGATTTATATGATTATCGTTACTATAATCTAAGAGTTCTATAATCTAATCTAAGAGAGAGAGAGAGAGAGAGAGAGAGAGAGAGAGAGAGAGAGAGAGAGAGGAGAGAGTTATATTTATTATACATTATATTTTACAAATGGAAATGTTTTTATAAATATTATTATTAAAATTGTTTTTTCTAAATTAAAAGCTTTTAATATTGGTTTTCAATATTAACAACAAGTGACTAATCATTTTGTGTGTGTTTTAAAAAAAATATTAATGAATAATTAGTTTGTAATATTAAACAAATATTAAAAATTTCAATTTGAAATATAATATAAAACTTTAGGGATAAACAAATTTATTAGAAAACGGGATGTTTTTATTAATGTTCATAATTTTTAAATAGTTTTCTCATAAGTATTTTATTTAAATTATTATATATTTATTAGAAACTATTGAATGGTTTCATGAAACTGATCAGTATTTAAAAAGTTGTTTAATCGTAAAGATAATAAATATTAATTTAAAAATAAAAAACAAATTTCTGAGACAGTTATGAGATTTAAAAAAAAATTTAAAAAATAGTTAAAAAAAATTTTATTTTGTAAATTTTATTTTAATAAAAATAAAAACATTATTAATAATAAATTATTATACAATATTGTTTAATAAGTATTTGTTATAATGTTTATACAAATAGTAAAATAAGATTTTAACAGTTTTTAATTGACTAATTGCTAACTACAGTATTATAATAGTTTTTTTCTAAATAATAAATAAGTTATACTAATAATCCTATTTTTTAATTTAAAAATAACATTATAAGTATTTATAAACTACAATAATTGTTTTTATAGAAAATTATATATATAATTATTATTATTTAAATACAAATTAAAAATAATTTTCATTGTAAACAATTATTGTTTAAAAAGCAAATAAAACAACTAATTTCTAGAAAAAAAAATAAAATAAATTTCTATTACATTTCTATATATTAATAGATTGTTCAAAAATTATTATTCAAACACATCCTAACTATTATTAATTATTATTATTGATTATTATTAACAGTATCGACGATCCAATTAATAAATTTTGAAACTCTCGGGAATTTCATTTTCAGATATGATTTATATGGCAAACATTTTTCACCACTTTTTTCAATCTCAATGACACTGTTTATGCCTATAAGTACGGCCCGACCGCCGACATATTGGATCACTGGTCCGCCAGAATCACCCTATTATTAGTGTATATATATATTAGGGTTAAGCAAGGTTTTGGATTTTAGGGGGGGGGTAGTGGTCAATTTACAAAACTGGGGGGGGAGGGTCTAAGGTGGAGTGTAGACTTTTATTGCATTTTCAAAATGGCAATTTTCTCAAAAATCCAAAATCAAATGGGAGGGGTAAGAAATAATTTTTAAAAATTAATTAAGAATTAAAAATTTTAACAAAAAAAAATAAAATAATCTATTAAAAAAATTAAAAATAATTAATAAAATTTTAGGGGTGTTATTTTTATGCGTTTTTAAGCGTAAATTTTTCACATTTGGTCAAAAAGTCTGAGGGGGGATAAAATCCCAAAATCTCGATCTTGTGGGGTATTTTGGCTTTGTCACCTACCCCCTTGCTTAATCATTATATATACTATATATTATATATTTAAAAATAATATGAATAATAATAGAAATATTTAATCAATATATAAAGTTATATATAAATTAAGTATAAATAAAATAAATAGTGTATATATACTGTATAATCTATAATTACTTTGCAAATAGCTGTTCCTGTATTTATCGGATACCTGTGCGCTATAATCCAATGTGCCGATAGATATGTATAATTATTATCGACTTTATCCAACTTAATCCAACCCATTAGCAATGGACCCAAATTATACTCCTCTTGATCTGTCTGACCAAAACCGGCAGTCAGTGCCAGCTCTTCATCGTTATTGACAATGTCTTTGTCCGGCAAACAAATACTGTTCACAAACGGCTGTCGATACTTATGATCACCACTTGTTGTTTGTGAGTCAATGATTGGTATCGGTATCTGTGACTTGAGTTTCAGTAATGCGATATCATATATAAGGTTTGGTGTTGAATCCAATTGGAAATATAGCGGATGATAGTAATAATGTTGGACACCATATGTATGGCTATCATCTCTATGGTCCTGAACTGTACGCACACTAAACGTGTAATCAGTTCTTTAAAAAATTAAAAACAGTAATTTATTATTTTGTATTTATTAAAATATTTAAAAAAATATTTATAAAAGTTTTTTATGTATATTATTTAATAGTATTCTTATAACACTTATTTTAATTATATTGTTTAGTTATGTTTAATAATTATATTAATTAATGACATTACTTGAGACAATGGGCTACAGTTATAATCCAATTGCTGTTTAATATAACACCCGGACAATGATAGCTATATACAGTATATATTTAATTGTATGTATATGTTAAATAAAAGTATACATATATAATATATATTTAAATTTTTATATGTTAATTTTCAACTACTTTTACTAATTATATACTATTTAATAGTTGTATATATACAGTATAAATATAATGTAAAATTAAAATTGTATTAAAATTGTATTTAAAATTAATACTGGTATTAGAAATCTATATATATATATTATTTATATGTATTTTAGTAAATCAATTGCCTGCTGATTTTTATAAACCAAAAATATTTTTCAAACAAAACTAAAGCAATCCACGGCCACTCTCCCGGTTTGACTACCCGTCCGTTTTGTATACGACTACTAGTGGTCTCATTGTATGACCACTTGAAACACTGGCCGGTAGTCAACAGTGATTGTCTGCCGATACCACACGTGTCGAGCGTTACGTTCGGGTATTGTTTGATACGTGAGTGCAAACCATTCACTAATACTACTAATGTAGTGATTAATAGTAAATTAATAATATTTTTTATATACATAATAATAATAATATCACAAAATAATATTTATTTATTAAAATACTTTTTTAGCGAAATTAATAATAAACTTTATATTATTGTATTTTATTGTAGAATAAATATAATTTTTAATTACAGATAATTTAATATTATATATCAATTTGATTGTAATTTGAAATTTATAATAAAAAATAACTACATTTATATAGAATATGTAATGTATATACTTTTAATTGAATCTTATTTAATATAACATTTAATATAACATTTTTATTGTAATTTGAAAATTATAAATAATATTATTCATATTAATATGATAAAATAATTTTAATTATTGAAATTAATAAATTATAACACTATTTACAATTTATTATTATTATTATTAATACATTAAAAAATACTTAAATGCAAACAAATCTATCATTTTGTATAATTTATAATATTATAATTAATTAATAGGTGTGTTTGTAATAATGTATTACTGTATCAAATATTATATAAACTTATTATATTTAAAAGTTGTTTAGTATTTAATTATAATTTAATGCTATTAATCATTTGGATTTTTAAAAAAACATAATTTATTCACTATTTAATTTTAATTATTTTGTAGTGTTTTTTCTTAATTGTTATAAACTTTACATAATTAGATCTAATATTTTATTTTATTAATATATAATTATTTATATATATATAACTTAATACTAGATGTTATTAATAGTAATGAGTATTAAATAAAAAACAGTTGAGAATGCTAGAAATCACTGTATATTAACAGTGAATTTATTCAAAAACGTTTTCTTGTTATATAATTTATATAATATAAATATTAATTTTTATAACTTTTAATTATTATTATTATTTAAAATTACAAACATTTTTTATTTTGCAAACATATAAAAATTTATTGAGCAATGTATAATTTTAATAAATTACTTAACTTGTATAAATTTTAATTATAGAATTTATTTTGTTAAATATATTTTTAATAAAAATAATAACATTCTACCGTTAAATAATAAATTATAGTATTTGTTGTAATAAGTATTTGTCATTTGTATTTATTTTGTATACTATAGTAAAATAACATTTTTAAGTTTTTAATTGACTAATTGATAATTTAATTTATTATTATTATTATTATATAAATATTAGTTAAAAAATAATGTTCATTGCAAGCGAAATGCAAATGAAAAGACAATTACCTAAAAACTAAATTTCTATTATTAATAGATATTTAAAAATTATTATTCAAACAAATCCTAACAATAATTATT